CGTGTAGCGCGGGATGGCCCACCCAACCCCTGAGCCCCTGACGAGCTCTAGGTAGGCCAGCCCGCCGTACACGCGTGTAGCGCGGAATGGCCTACCGTGCACCTCGCAGGCGCTTGCGCCGGTCTTCACACAGGCCGTCAAAGGCCCTAAACCGCACTGGAGGACGTCCGATTCTCCCTCCCCTCTGTTCTCCTCGGTTCTCCTTGTCCGGCGCTACCTCGTCCGTCTAATGCACAAAAGGCCATCGCACTACATACACTTTCCGTCACTCGCTAACCGTGCTGTTCTAGCCCACGACGCGGGCCGGAGGTGGGGAGAGGAGGGGGGGGGGGCGAGAAGTGGAGAGGCGCATGAATGGTCAGGGCAGGTCGTGTTTCGCAACGTGTGTGTGGTTTGGTCGCGTCGAGGTGAAGGCTATGCGGACGATGGGCGTAGAGAATACGGGGAGCAAGGCGCCGCGCCGCTAGAGCCGGCTGAGGTGACCGCGACCGCGACACTGGGCGTCGTCAGGCGCGCATCCAGGGTTTTCATGTGGGGAGAAGGGGGAGGGGTGGAGTGTCGGAGGTCACGCCGTGCTTTCTGCAAACTTAACTCTGCACTCTGCTGCATTGCCTACTTACTAGGGCGCTTCGACTGGACTCGAAGCAGACCTAAACTGGAAAGAGTCTCCAGTAGTGACAACGCGGTTCCACTACTTGACACTTCACTGCAGAGTCCAATGCAAAGTCCGTGACCTTACGCCATTTTCAATTTTCACCAGGGGCTTATCACCCTGCTCCGAGTCACCGAGGACCCGGAGGCGCTGGCCACCTGGTCCGCCCAGCCGTATGGCGCGATCGTCTCAAAGTCCTCCCCTTGTGGCGATAAAAGGGTCGGAGAGTGACGAAAATGTCTGCGCACGTCAAAGTGTGAAACGAAGAAATTGAAGTGGGTTGAACAGAAAAACGTAAACGAAACGCCAATAGACTCATGAGTTGCGGAAAAAAATCCAAGCATTCACGTCATAGTAATCGGACTCGGTATGAGTGGCTCAGATCAGACTTTCCCCCCTCGGATAAGGAGACCCTCAGATCGCTCTTTTGGTTTCGTGTTTCTGGGCGTGAGTGTTGTATCCGCGGCTCTGGTGGGCGGCGGTTGATCGTGGTGGTGATGTGAGTGCAGTGGACGCGCTCTCCCGCGGGGGAAGCCCCGAGCCGGCCGGAAGAGCCGTGCGGTGTCCATCCTGGCATGATTACTGTCTCCCTGCCATGCAGCTCTCCTCGGAGAGTCCCTCCCGCTCCTCCCCCTCCACTCACTGCTCTCCGGGTCGGCCTTGGGGTGGCTCTGGGTGGCTCGCTCGCCCGCCCGCCTGCCTGTCTAGATGAATATGCAGATATCTGCGCGGCCGTTGTTGGACACTACTTCAGCCGGGCAGGGGAAGAGGAGGGAGAGGGGGAGGGGCGGTAGCCGCGTGGTCATTGGCTGATCGCCGCCCGCGCGGCTGCTATCGCGAGCGCGCTCCTCCTCCTCCGCGAC